CTTCAGTCTGGCAACCGTTTTAGGGCCTGTAGGGCCTGAATTCGGTTGTCAGGCTGAAATGTCTCCGGGGCCTGTAAGCCCTAAGTTTTAGGCTTTTAGGCTGACTGTCTGGGACGGGCCCTGTAGGGCCCGTGTGGCTATGCAGTATGCCACATCGACACTGTAATCCTACATTATGAATGAATTTTTTTGAAACACTTACAGCGATGGGGAGGGGTCGAGTTTCAAATATGCAAAAACAGAAAACACTAAATTGCAGTTTTGCCGTGGAGGCAGTTTGGAATGTGCAAAAAATGCACAAATTGCATTTTTTTTAATTTTTAAGTTTTAACTTTTTTAAAGTTTTTTTTAACTTTCTTTATCTTTTTTTGCCGTTTTTGCACTCAAGCCCTCTGCATATGATGGACCGACCTTGCCTTTACAAGAAAATCGTTTGATAGAAAGCACCGTGCCTATGTCATTTCCTTTTCAAAGGCAGCGTGTGACTGACATGCAGGTGTGTTCTTTGTTTGGCTATTTCAAACTCAAACTTGATGAGGCCTTAGTTGGCTCAATTCTTCTTCTTCTTCTTCTTCTTCTTCTTCTTCTTCTTCTTCTCTGTCCTCGTTCTGCCCTCGGTCTTCATCATCTTGCCGTCTGAGTTTCATGCTTAGAGTGCATTCGCATGTGAAATGTTTCAAGTTGGAAACGTGCACATGGAGAACTTGGGTTGTTGCACAATGCACTCCAGCTGAGTATCCAGCATTTGTTGATGATTGAAGCTCATGCAGTTTCATCTCTGTAACCTCCATGAATAGAATGTTGAGAAGAGAAAAACAGAAAGATGCATTGCTGAAAGAAGGAAAAAAAATGAAAAGAATGATGCATTGTTCAATGCTCACTGTTCTGCCAGACCATTGCACTTTTGTGATGACCTTTGAGTTCAATCGGTACTGTCTTGCCCCGAACACAACGCAACCTCATTTTGGCTGTAAGGGACCAGAAATATAGCTTGTATGCATTCATTTTCAGCGTGTGTCATGCTTGGGGGAAGACGGCAGTCTTGGTTGACTGCTAGCAAACAACCTCCTCCTAGAAAAAAGAAAGATTATTTTTTTGACAAATGCATCCCTGGTGTGTTTGTGGCGGTGGTTGCAGTTTCAAGAGCGGAAGTGTCAGCACTAACGGCGGGACTTTGGAGTGTGGCATCACTCACTATTTTCTCGCTCTTGGTCAGTTTAGACTGCTCTTGGACTGCCGGCATTCTATAAATAGTAAATACCTACAGGCTCACGTCATGTCAGAATCCGTGTGAAGTCCCCTTTCTGCTCTTAGGCTGCTGGCATTCTATAAATACCGAAAGGCTCACATCGCGCCATCATCTATGTGAAGTCCGCTTACTGCTCTGGGCTCCTGGCATTCTATAAATAGCAAATACCTACTGGCTCACGTCAAGTCAGCATCCGTGTGAAGCCCCCTTGCTGCTCTTGGGCTGCTGGCATTCTATAGAAACCTACAGGCTCATGTCACATCAGCATCTGTGTGAAGTCCCTTTACTCCTCTTGGACTCTCTGGCATTCTACAGATTACATACAGGATCACGTCATGTCAGCATCCGTGTGAAGCCCCCTTGCTGCTCTTGGGCTCCCGGCATTCTATAAATACCTACAGGCTCATGTCATGTCACAATCCGCGTAAGTTGCCGTACTGCTCTTTGGCTGCTGGCATGTTATAAATACCTACAGGCCCACGTCATGTCAGCATCCGTGTGAAGTCCTTTTCTTGCTCTTGGGCTGCTGGCATTCTATAAATACCTACAGGCTCACGTCACGTCACGTCAGCATCCTCATGTAAGTCGCCTTACTGCTCTTGGGCTGCTGGCATTCTACAAATACCTACAGGCTCGTGTCACGCCAGCATCCGTGTGAAGTCCCCTTGCAAACACTGTAAATGCTGTTGGTGTGAAACTGTCACCTAGGAAGTGGTCATTCTGCTGTGCTGCCATGGGTCCTCTTTCACGGAGGGGGTTATGTGAGGGTTTGGTCAGGCAGGTGACGAGAAGAGTGACGGCGTGTACACACACCAGTACTTAGAACTTCTGATACTGAATGTTCCCTCACTGTTAATAGAACGTACGATAGAGGTTGTTGATATGGTGCCCCCCTCTTCTTTCTCACTGTACAGAGTTAGGTCTTGGACTTCAAATTTTAAAAGTGTACCAGTCAAGTATTTTTTTTTCTCTTTCATTCATTTTAGTTTGTCCTTGACAAGAGAGCTACTTCGGTGGAAGAATAATTGTAACAGTTTCTGTTTTTTCAACTTTTGTACTAAATGCCTAGGGAATTTGCAATCCATCCTGTTCTGTATTACCTGGTATGACTTTTTTTTTTTTTTTTTTTTTTTGGAACTTTCTTGTTATTTAATTGGTCTCTGTACTATAGGAAAAAAACAATGGGTTACAAGAAAAAAAGAAGATGACATGAGTTTTATTATCTGTACTATAGGAAAAAAACAATGGGTTACAAGAAAAAAAGAAGATGACATGAGTTTTATTATCATGGCGCAACCACCTTCCTACAAACTCTATCTCAACATCACACACTGTCAAGGCTCTCAAGAGTCTCAACCCTTCTACTTATACGCCACTCAGATTGAGGTACTGCTACAACTTTGTCTTCTTGTGCCATTTGTTCGCTTGCAAAATTTGTCCTTCATTTTAGCTTCTTGTTGTGCATCTGGTGTATGGCCTCCAAGGGATACTGCAACCTTTCTTTTATTCACACCACCCTAAGAAAACTCCTGTTTCCCCTTCAGCCCCCCTGACCGCACCACACCTCCGAACCTAGAGAACATGCACCAGTGATTGTATTGAAAAGATTCTTTTCAAAAAAAAAAAAAGAAAAAAAAAGAAGTCTTTAAACCATTTATTCACCGCAAAAAAAAGTATTCACCCTGAGGGAGAAATGCGGAGTGTTGGCGAAGATGAGATGGGCATTGCCGCCCCTTGCGAAGGTAGAGTCTAATTGGAAAAAAAAAGTGAAAACATTTCCTCGAGGAATCCTTGTAGCGTCCTCGTGGCCCGGCCATTTTGTGCCCTAGTGCAAGGGACCTCACGAGGTCCCTTGGAGCTCAAGGATCCGTGATATCGGAGCGGCGAAGGCACACGTTGTCGGCAACTGTTTTTTCCGGCTGGTCCATTGGTGTTCTGCCAGCGGCTGCACGGACATCTTCGAGCCTCAACGTTGGGATTTCAGGCAACGGGTCGCCAACGGTTACTCTTGGAGGACGGCCGTCGGAAGGGTTCGTTGTCAATTGGGGCTGTCATCGCGGTGTGTCCCGCCAGCTTCGTAGGGGTTCAATTGTTGGGAAAGTTGAATATTTTACCTGATCCCTCCCGCATCCCCGCTCATGTCGGCGAGGGAAAACGTTAGAGTGTGTGTGTCGTATGTTGTCCTCTACTGTTTGCTCCCTTCATCGTCGTCGTTTGGTGGACTTCCACCGTCGTCGTGGAGTTACGGGCCTGTCGTAGTCATGATTTTGCTTGTCGTGGTCCTCCAGTTCCACGTATGCATCCTCGGCAGGGTGCAGCATCACCTCCGCAAGATGGCCTTCGCCTCATCTGCATCATCGTCGTTATTGGATTTTGCCGTCTCGCCTCCACAGACGTCACCTCGCCCGTGTCGTCGTCGTCACGTCAAGCACCCAATTCGGAATTTAATTTTTGAACGGAGAGGTCCATCTGTCTCTTATACACATCTAGATGTGTATAAGAGACAGCTCCAGTTCCACGTATGCATCCTCGGCAGGGTGCAGCATCACCTCCGCAAGATGGCCTTCGCCTCATCTGCATCATCGTCGTTATTGGATTTTGCCGTCTCGCCTCCACAGACGTCACCTCGCCCGTGTCGTCGTCGTCACGTCAAGCACCCAATTCGGAATTTAATTTTTGAACGGAGAGGTCCATCTGTCTCTTATACACATCTAGATGTGTATAAGAGACAGCTCCAGTTCCACGTATGCATCCTCGGCAGGGTGCAGCATCACCTCCGCAAGATGGCCTTCGCCTCATCTGCATCATCGTCGTTATTGGATTTTGCCGTCTCGCCTCCACAGACGTCACCTCGCCCGTGTCGTCGTCGTCACGTCAAGCACCCAATTCGGAATTTAATTTTTGAACGGAGAGGTCCATCTGTCTCTTATACACATCTAGATGTGTATAAGAGACAGCTCCAGTTCCACGTATGCATCCTCGGCAGGGTGCAGCATCACCTCCGCAAGATGGCCTTCGCCTCATCTGCATCATCGTCGTTATTGGATTTTGCCGTCTCGCCTCCACAGACGTCACCTCGCCCGTGTCGTCGTCGTCACGTCAAGCACCCAATTCGGAATTTAATTTTTGAACGGAGAGGTCCATCTGTCTCTTATACACATCTAGATGTGTATAAGAGACAGCTCCAGTTCCACGTATGCATCCTCGGCAGGGTGCAGCATCACCTCCGCAAGATGGCCTTCGCCTCATCTGCATCATCGTCGTTATTGGATTTTGCCGTCTCGCCTCCACAGACGTCACCTCGCCCGTGTCGTCGTCGTCACGTCAAGCACCCAATTCGGAATTTAATTTTTGAACGGAGAGGTCCATCTGTCTCTTATACACATCTAGATGTGTATAAGAGACAGCTCCAGTTCCACGTATGCATCCTCGGCAGGGTGCAGCATCACCTCCGCAAGATGGCCTTCGCCTCATCTGCATCATCGTCGTTATTGGATTTTGCCGTCTCGCCTCCACAGACGTCACCTCGCCCGTGTCGTCGTCGTCACGTCAAGCACCCAATTCGGAATTTAATTTTTGAACGGAGAGGTCCATCTGTCTCTTATACACATCTAGATGTGTATAAGAGACAGCTCCAGTTCCACGTATGCATCCTCGGCAGGGTGCAGCATCACCTCCGCAAGATGGCCTTCGCCTCATCTGCATCATCGTCGTTATTGGATTTTGCCGTCTCGCCTCCACAGACGTCACCTCGCCCGTGTCGTCGTCGTCACGTCAAGCACCCAATTCGGAATTTAATTTTTGAACGGAGAGGTCCATCTGTCTCTTATACACATCTAGATGTGTATAAGAGACAGCTCCAGTTCCACGTATGCATCCTCGGCAGGGTGCAGCATCACCTCCGCAAGATGGCCTTCGCCTCATCTGCATCATCGTCGTTATTGGATTTTGCCGTCTCGCCTCCACAGACGTCACCTCGCCCGTGTCGTCGTCGTCACGTCAAGCACCCAATTCGGAATTTAATTTTTGAACGGAGAGGTCCATCTGTCTCTTATACACATCTAGATGTGTATAAGAGACAGCTCCAGTTCCACGTATGCATCCTCGGCAGGGTGCAGCATCACCTCCGCAAGATGGCCTTCGCCTCATCTGCATCATCGTCGTTATTGGATTTTGCCGTCTCGCCTCCACAGACGTCACCTCGCCCGTGTCGTCGTCGTCACGTCAAGCACCCAATTCGGAATTTAATTTTTGAACGGAGAGGTCCATCTGTCTCTTATACACATCTAGATGTGTATAAGAGACAGCTCCAGTTCCACGTATGCATCCTCGGCAGGGTGCAGCATCACCTCCGCAAGATGGCCTTCGCCTCATCTGCATCATCGTCGTTATTGGATTTTGCCGTCTCGCCTCCACAGACGTCACCTCGCCCGTGTCGTCGTCGTCACGTCAAGCACCCAATTCGGAATTTAATTTTTGAACGGAGAGGTCCATCTGTCTCTTATACACATCTAGATGTGTATAAGAGACAGCTCCAGTTCCACGTATGCATCCTCGGCAGGGTGCAGCATCACCTCCGCAAGATGGCCTTCGCCTCATCTGCATCATCGTCGTTATTGGATTTTGCCGTCTCGCCTCCACAGACGTCACCTCGCCCGTGTCGTCGTCGTCACGTCAAGCACCCAATTCGGAATTTAATTTTTGAACGGAGAGGTCCATCTGTCTCTTATACACATCTAGATGTGTATAAGAGACAGCTCCAGTTCCACGTATGCATCCTCGGCAGGGTGCAGCATCACCTCCGCAAGATGGCCTTCGCCTCATCTGCATCATCGTCGTTATTGGATTTTGCCGTCTCGCCTCCACAGACGTCACCTCGCCCGTGTCGTCGTCGTCACGTCAAGCACCCAATTCGGAATTTAATTTTTGAACGGAGAGGTCCATCTGTCTCTTATACACATCTAGATGTGTATAAGAGACAGCTCCAGTTCCACGTATGCATCCTCGGCAGGGTGCAGCATCACCTCCGCAAGATGGCCTTCGCCTCATCTGCATCATCGTCGTTATTGGATTTTGCCGTCTCGCCTCCACAGACGTCACCTCGCCCGTGTCGTCGTCGTCACGTCAAGCACCCAATTCGGAATTTAATTTTTGAACGGAGAGGTCCATCTGTCTCTTATACACATCTAGATGTGTATAAGAGACAGCTCCAGTTCCACGTATGCATCCTCGGCAGGGTGCAGCATCACCTCCGCAAGATGGCCTTCGCCTCATCTGCATCATCGTCGTTATTGGATTTTGCCGTCTCGCCTCCACAGACGTCACCTCGCCCGTGTCGTCGTCGTCACGTCAAGCACCCAATTCGGAATTTAATTTTTGAACGGAGAGGTCCATCTGTCTCTTATACACATCTAGATGTGTATAAGAGACAGCTCCAGTTCCACGTATGCATCCTCGGCAGGGTGCAGCATCACCTCCGCAAGATGGCCTTCGCCTCATCTGCATCATCGTCGTTATTGGATTTTGCCGTCTCGCCTCCACAGACGTCACCTCGCCCGTGTCGTCGTCGTCACGTCAAGCACCCAATTCGGAATTTAATTTTTGAACGGAGAGGTCCATCTGTCTCTTATACACATCTAGATGTGTATAAGAGACAGCTCCAGTTCCACGTATGCATCCTCGGCAGGGTGCAGCATCACCTCCGCAAGATGGCCTTCGCCTCATCTGCATCATCGTCGTTATTGGATTTTGCCGTCTCGCCTCCACAGACGTCACCTCGCCCGTGTCGTCGTCGTCACGTCAAGCACCCAATTCGGAATTTAATTTTTGAACGGAGAGGTCCATCTGTCTCTTATACACATCTAGATGTGTATAAGAGACAGCTCCAGTTCCACGTATGCATCCTCGGCAGGGTGCAGCATCACCTCCGCAAGATGGCCTTCGCCTCATCTGCATCATCGTCGTTATTGGATTTTGCCGTCTCGCCTCCACAGACGTCACCTCGCCCGTGTCGTCGTCGTCACGTCAAGCACCCAATTCGGAATTTAATTTTTGAACGGAGAGGTCCATCTGTCTC